AACTTCAGTATAGGGGTTATTTGGGACCCTGATTACGAATATGACATTCACTTTTGGCCGTTAACGTTGTTCAGTGCACATGTCTCGGCTGGAGAGCGCAGACGAGCAGAAAATAGGAGCCGATGAATGTCATATTCGTAATCAGGTCCCAAATAACCCCTATATTGAAGTTTACACCGATTTTGGCGAAAACAAGGGTCGTGACAAGGTGGCGCCAACTGGCGCCAGATGGCGCCAGCGCTGAAAATGAAAGTCATTTTCGTGATCAGGGCATCGACTTACCTCTATAGGCAAATTTGCGGTGGTTTCTAAGGTGTACAAAGTTACACTGCACGAGCGGGGGTGGTTTTACGTGAAATCGGCGCGGGCTTATACACCGGAAATTAGGGTCTTCTTCTCCCTAGCGTTAGTCCCGCGCAGTCGCAGGGTCCGCTGTCTTTGTCAGTCGTCGCCACTTTAGTCTGTCCAGGGCGTCCTCTGCTGTGGCCATGACTTCACTTAGATCCTTCTTGATCACGTCTCTCCACCTCTTCTTTGGGGCTCCTCGCGGTCGCTTGCCTTGCACTTCGAAGTCCATCGCTTTCTTTATCGGATGATCCTGTGGCCTCCTTCAGCACGTGCCCATACCATCGCAGACGCTGCTCTCGCATCTTCAGCTGGACAGGAGCAGTCTGCATGACCGCTCTGTCCTCGTTTCTGACCCTGTCCAGCCGCGTCCAGCCGCAGGCCCATCTCAGCATCCTCATCTCAGCGGAGTGAAGCTGCCTTTCGTGTTCTTGTTCAGGGGCCAGCACTCGCTGCCGTATAGCATCGCAGGCCTCACGCCAGGGTCAAGCGTGCGTTGAGGAATCCTCGACACGTCACAGGGGGGGGGGTCGTATTGGCCCGCTGGGAGGAAGAGATCGGGCCGGATTGACGCAGTAGGATCATCACCATCGGAGGACAAACATCAAGGGTCGATGCCAGGCCAGAGGATTTCCAATAACAATGTCATTCTGCCCACATTCGTGATTCAGAGATGTCCGCTTAGCAATTCTTAGTTACTTGTCCTCTGACGGTGATGATCCTGGTTTTGTCACCATACAAGTTAAACAATTCGAAATAATTCGCACTTTTTCCAAGGATATTTTATCTTTCAAGTGAGTCCTCGAATCTAAAGGGATGTGAAGCACATGGCGCATCCCAGAGTGGGCTTAGTTGGTTGCGCGCGCTTCAACTACGGCTCTCTGAAGAAAGAACCTCAATTCAGGAAAAACTAAGAGGATTCTGAAAGGATCCGTGTGAAATTACAGGGAGGAGTACACCATTCAAAAAGAAACACAGTCTTCAGCGTCAAATTCTTAAGCACGTAACCCTTAAAGTTGAGATACACTAAACTATTTTACACTTCTTGGAAGAGAGAAGCAGGAGCATTTCGAATCTGCCCCTACTTTAGTATGTAATCGCCTCTGAAAGGAGCTATAGCCGTTGAAATAGGGCCAATGCAGCAAAAAAGTACCTTTCGGCGGTACTCGGGCAGAAATCCTCAACGTGGCCATTTCTTTAATACTGAACGTATTTAGCAGTTTCTAACAACCTTTAGATAGAGCAAATCTTCTAGTTTATGATGACGTATTAACTTTCCAGATTGGATGAGTTTGAACGGAGTTATGGCTTTGGAAAGCGTAAAAACTCGCACTCATCACGAATTTTCCTCGTTAATTTTGCAAAAATCCTCAACGTGGCCATTTTTTGAGTACTGGACGTATGAAGCTGCTTTAGCGACCGTTTGATAGAGAAAATCTTCTAGTTTTGTATGACGTATCAACTTTTTGAATTTGACGGAAATGAAGCAAGTTATTGCTCCGGAAAGTGTAAAAACTCGTGCTCGTCTCGAATTTTCCTCGTTAATTGATCTAAATTTGTTTTTCTCATAATTTTGTAATTTCAATACTGATTAGAAAGAGCTCTTCACAAAACTCCCAAATCTGCTTTCAGATTGAAAATTCGTCATATTTGAAGAAAGTTATAATCATTTGAATATTTGTTCAAATTTCAATAGTAAATAAGCTGCTCCACGGTCAACGCCAAAGTCAGTCAACACACAGCTGGCGAAGGCGGTTACAAGGCTTTTTATCAATTGAAAGGGGGACGTTTAAATTGAGAACCATGATCTGTGTAGTACTAGAATTTGGTAAGTGTTATGAAGGAAATAAATAGAGAAGAGATGTTGTCATAGTATGCCATTTTTAGTGGCTAGTTTGTCGTTTTTGCTCCTTTTCTCGTTTGCTCGTTTGGTAGGACTCATCATTAATGATCATTCTTTGACTTTTTCACTTTTTTAGTTCCTATAAGAATTTTTTGGTGGACGGTGGGGTTGCAGGGCTCTTTTGAACATTTTGGGTGAGAATTAAACAACCTTTTCATAGCTCTGTTTTGAAAAGGGTCGTTTCATGGACTTCGGCCTCTGGGGGAGGAGGGGGGGGGTCGTATTTCCAAATTTTCCTCGACGGTTCGCTTGACCCTGCTCACGACCTGTCGGTACACCTTCCCTTTGAGCGTTCTGGAGCATCTTCGATCGCAGAGGATTCCAGTGGACTCCCTCCATTTCATCCATGCAGCGTTGACTCGAGCCTTCACTGCCTGATCCACACCACCGTCGGCTGCCAGATCGCTCCCAAGGTAGCGGAAGTCCTCCACCTTTCGATGGTCTCACCATGGCCGTCCACGATCGGCTCTGCACCCTCTTCGGAGCTCAGGAACTTGGTCTTCTTGACATTCAGCCGGAGCCCACCTTCTGCCAGGACTTCTGCCATTTCTGCACCTTGGCCTGAAGTTCTTCTCTGCTATCCGCTATCAGGGCGATGTCGTCAGCGTAGAGGATGGTCTTTAGTGGTCCCTTCCATGAGCCCCTTCACCAGGACATCTAGTGTTAGGAGGAAGAGGAACGGGCTCAGAGCTGACCCTTGGTGCACCCCAACCGTGATGTCCACCTCCTTCGTTAGGCCGTGAGGGTGCGTGTGACCAGCCGCTCGTACAACTTCATTGGTATGCGCAGTCAACTTGATCCCGCGGTAGTTGGAGCAGTCCATTGCGTCGCCCTTCTGTTTGAAGATGGGGACGATGGTACTTGTCCTCCATGCATCCGGCATCTTTCCTTCCACTGTTACCTTGTTCAGGAAGCTGGTGAGCCACCTTATGCCGTACTCTCCGAGCGCCTTCCATGCCTCGATTGGCACCCCATCTGGGCCAACCGCCTTCCAACCTTCATCCTCCCAAGTGCACACCTAACCTCATCCTCAGTCCAGAGTGCGATGGGACCAGCTGTGGCCTCTGCCCGTGAGTTGTTCTCGTGGGGGAACTCCTCGTTCAGAAGTGCCCTGAAGTACTCTTCCCACCTCCTCTTGACTTCGGCTGGCTTCCTTAGGATACACCTCTGCCTTTCACACTTTTCACCACCCTGATGTCTTGGGTAGCACGATGCCGGGCCTTAGCCAGCCTGAAGACGAACTTCTCTGCGTTTCTGCTTTCCAACTTCTCGTACAAGGCGTCCATCTCCGTGTTCTTCGCCTTGGCGACAGCAGCCTTAGCGAGCCTCTTGCAACTCTTGTAGGTAGCGAGGTCTTCGGGGCTCCGGGTCTTCTGCCAGCGCTTGTATGCTTCCTTCTTCTGCTTCACGACTCGCTGGACCTCCTCGTTCCAGAACCACGCTGCCTTGTCTCCTCTGAATCCACCTCGCGTCTCGCCCAGGACCTCCTTGGCACATCGCAGGATGGTCTCAGCCGCGTTGCCCCAAGTCCGCTGTATTGGCCCGTTAGGATCTGGGAGACCGACTTCCATTATCTTTCGCCTTGAGGTCATCCTTCTCCGCTTGGTGCAGCTTCCACCACCGGATTCTCCTCTCGGTTCTTACCCTTGTCTTCTTGGGGAGGTCTATCGCAATGTCTGCCAGGAGGGGCCTGTGCTGGGGAGCCAGTAGAACTTTGATATCCTTCACAGTTTTGAGGGTTGATCTTCTCACCAGCACATGGTCAATTTCCGTCTGTCTCCCTCCACTGCTGTAGGTTAGACATAGTTGGTGTGACGGGGGTCTTCATCAGCCGGCCTGTCAACCTGGGCCTGACGCTGGTACTAGAACCATTTTTGCAATTTTTGCAAGGCATGGTTAACCTCGGCAGGGATCGAACTCGCGGTTTTCAGAGGTGCAGACATGAGTCTAACCTCTTAACCACTCGGCTATCCCTGCCTTCTACCGGAAATTAGGGTATTGTAAGGATACTTGATAAATGACGCCTTCGGGCTGAGGGACAAGAGGTCCGGCTACCACGTAGACGGTCAGCCTGAATCGAATTCCGAATCGAGTCAACCAGTCACTCCTTTGTCCATGAACGTTTACATTGTTACGTGTTCTACGATACCATGCTAAGTTATCCTGAAAGTCCTGCGACGCCTCGTGCAAGACTTCTTCAAAACCACAACGAAGGCGTACAAAAGTGTAGGTCGTGGGAAGGTGCGCTATTTTGTCGCGGGGTATCAGTAGAGAGCACTTTGTCCAAAGGAAACGATTTGAGCGGGAAGTCTTAGGCCCTAAGTGGCCCGCTAGAGAGAGCCTCAGTGGCTCTGTTGGTAACCTTAGTGGCTCAAGGGTGAAAAAGCCTCACTGGCTCAGCCAGCTTGTGGTTTACGTCAAGGAGCAATGCACGCCGTGCACCGTGGTGTGGACCCGCTATCGATGGTCGCTGCGAACTCAGTCACCACGATTTGCGTGTCTTCGACTTACTAGCGGTCTTTCTCATCATTATTGTTCTTAATTCTGGTTGGTAAATGAATATTCTTTCTGCTTTTCCTTTACGCACAGTTGGATCGTATTGGGGTTCACATGGACATGATTTCTCCTTTGATTTTTCCCGCGTTTCTGTGCTCAATTAGAAATTGAAAAGACAAATTGCCGGGGATATTATTATTTGCGTTCAGTGGTTTCCTTTTTCAAGCTAAAAGTTATTCAGAGCACCTCTAGTTTTCTAATAGACTTTCTTACTTGTCAGGGGGAAATTCGGATTTTCGGTGTCAAAGACGTAGTTTAGAGGAAACTTTTCTGGATCCATTTCCAAATCGCAGAATCCCAATACACGTTCTCCAAACCCTCCCAACGTTTCATAGGCCTGTAACAATTAGTTTGTTAACAAAGCATGCAATATATGTAGAGCCGAAGGCATATTTTTTTTATGTATACAATGCTGAAACAGACCTTGATAAAATCTTCTTCAAATTTCTTGTCTTTGTCTTTCTCGTTTCCCTCGGTCAATAGCGTTGAACATGCCTTGAGAATTTTCTCCGGTGCTCCTTTCATTACTAATAGATAGCGGTCGCCATTCTGATGGATTGAGACCTGTAGCAAACCTTTTTCAGCACTTCCGCTCTAGTCTACCACAGGATGCATATGGTTGTGGCATGAGGGCTATGGACGCCACTTGATACCTCCGCGTTCCGATGTGAACCCGAGCAGGCGATTTTTCCTTCCAGCGTCGAACGATTAAATGACACGCGACTTGGATCAATTAAGAGCGAAACATTGCTACCGCTTGCAGCCTTTCAGTGTTTGATGCGTCGATGAAACTTGTGCAAAGAAAGTGAATGGGACAACTTGGGCTTTTACAGAATTGACGCGCTTGTATTCCACACCGTCGTTCATGGCCTTAGGGAGGACACTAAAAACAGAGCATTTGAAGACCATGACTAAGCCTAGGAGAGGGGAGAAGCGCCATGAAAGACGGAGAGGTTGCTCTTGTCCTCTTTCAGAACCCCTATCCTCTTCCTAGGGTTTATTTCTGCGAGTTATCACTCACTTCAATGTCTCTTTAACCATATGAGCTGCCTTTACTCCTAATTTTTCCCATACGCTTCCCATACGTTGTGAGATTTCGTCCCTTTCTGCATCACTCTCGAGAAGGATGGAAGAAGACAACAATCAACAGCGTGCGTCAGAAACGGGACACGATCATTCCGGAGACTTTCGACACTTTGGTGGCCGCTACGTCGTGACTCCACATCTTATAATAAAGGCTCATAGAAAGACGAATTCAGCTGGGCCTCCTAACGGCATAGCGCGGAGAAGCGAGTAGAGAGTTACCTAATAACTGACAGCTAACAAAAAATGAGTAGAAGGATGTCTTATGCGTAGCCATACCATTCTTAATAGTTATCGGGAGCATGTTTAACAACTGCATGGAAGAAGCTGCCTGCTGATCTGTGAAAGGTCTGAATAATGTGATGGGTCGGCGATACAAAAGGTTTGCGAACTTAGAAAAGACTATCTATCACGGGCTGCAATATGTGTAAGATGAGGTACTGGCTCAGATATTTGGAAAAAAAAGTCTGATATTCGTTAACAGAACAGTTGGAGATGCAGCGAGTTCTGCTCTTCAAAAGAACTTCATAACTCCGTACCTGATACTTGTTGGTCGAATTGAATGGAATCTCTGCAACTTTCGGACTCTTGTCACGCATTTTCCGTGTTCCTCCATTCCCAAGGATCAGCTCGCAATATTTCATGATGGCTGTCTCTGATGCATCACCAGACACTTCTCTCTCTGGGGAGTGGGCACTGAGAAGTCCTCGCTCTGAAGTATTCTCGTTTCGTATTTCACCCCTCAACATTTCACTAAAATTATTAAGACTCCATAACTTTAGAGTTACCCTGAAGGAATTCAGCACAAAACCCTTGAACTTGCTCCTGCTGCATAATGCTGCACATCGAATCAACAGCTTGAAGGTGCCTTCCATGCGGTGAATCATCCTGCCGCGCATCTTCCCAGAAGGGAGACACTGTTCGGTCTCATCAATTTTACCGTCGCACCTAGGCAAGAAACCTTCTACCTCTCTGAATTCTCTTATCAGCTGCAATATGCTTCCGCAACTGAAAAGGCGTTGGAAACCTGATGAGAATTTCCAGCCTTCATGACCTTGTGATTTTAGTGCTAAGACTTGGTAACTGCATTGGTTAGAAAATTCTTACCACAAATGTGTGATGGTCAATCCCGGTTTTGCGTAAGCGTTCCTGTTTTATCCGAACAGATAGTGGATGTGGAACCAAGTGTTTCAACCGCTTCGAGATTTTTCACCAAACAATTTTTCTTTCTCATTTTCACTGCCGTGAGTGTTAGGCAGACCTAAAGACTCAATCCACCGCCACATTTTCTTTTATTCGCTAATGCACTATTTCCGGTCATACGCAACGCAAATTTTTGATGCGATTCAGGCAAGGCTTGGGGCGTGGAGTTGAGCACCCGCCCAGGTGCTGTCTTCTAATGTGTACAGTATCAACTATGGACTTGTCTCATGCTCACCGTCCAGGACCAACTAAGCCTCCCATCAGACCAGCTTTGTTATTTGGTACTCATTTTAAGCATTCAGAATGCAATTGAAATTCTGAATGGATGTAGAAAGCGGTGGGCCTCCCAAAGGATTTGGTTCAGCTTTTCCTGCATCATCACACAAATCGCTACTCCAACCTTTTCTCCTTCATGAACACACCGGAAAGCTTTCTTAGAAAACGATCGAAGAACAGAGAAGAAAGAAGAGACCGCAGACCGTGAAATGAGGGGCACTATTAAGCAGTAGGGTGGGATCATTCCTAACAAAATAGTTCCTGTTGGTAAGAATTGAATGCAATAGACCGTGTACAGCTCATTCATAAATCCTTTTTTTTGGATCACCTTCATTAGATTTCATTCACTTTAGAAAATTTAGCCCGGCAATCATAAGAATTTCCTATCTGTATGAAAAAACGAACCGTCACGGTCGCCACGATACCTTCCGGCACATTAGCAACAACTATTCCCATAAAGAAGATGAGAGCCTGAAATTTCTTCTTGCTCAAGCAGTGTGCATGCTGCAAATGTAAAATGGCGATGAATAGCGATGCAGTGTTGTGTTAAAGGCAGCGATTGCCGATAAATTCAAGAAGGGGTAGTATGACGTGGTGGTGCTCAATGGTACGCCAGTAGCGAAAAAAGCAGAAAAATCCGTCAAGAAAACGCAAAACGGGACCCCTTTTTTGGCCGTTGATTTTCACTCATGAACAGGTAACAGCTAAGAAAGTGACGTATGAACGAGTTCACCGCAATGCATTCGATGGGTATCATGCCAAACTACGCTTTGATCAAGATGCTCCATTTGCACCGCTGCTGGCCACGCAGCTCGTCAATCGATCAACAGTACTTGGGGCGGATCGCTTTTGGGGCGGAGCGCTTTCAAACTCCTGCTCAGCAAGAAGCGCACCTTTCGTTGCGAAAGCGCCACATCTCGCTTCCGTGGCAACCAAGTAACTGATTCCTGTGGTGCACATGCTTCTCCGATGCGCCTTCCCTCTCAGAATTCGGGTCGGTTAGAAACTTTGTGCTGTTTTAAACGTTGTAACTTCGGAACATTAAATCTGTTTCAACACAACCCCTTTAGTTTGAAAAAAGAAACTGTTACATTCATGACACCCCTGTCTAGTCTAAACACGGTTGAAAAGCAATCTTCGACAACTTCCTGTTCGTCAAGCTATTTACACTCACAAGTATCACTTTGAATATAGGAAAAGTAGTAATGCAATGAAAACAAATTTGTATATAGTGCATTTTCCAATGTACTATGTGGCACTGTTGTGCGAAGGTTGCTGCAACACCTCTTCTACCTTTTATATGTCACAGAGAGAGCAGATGATTTTCTACAGATGACAAGAAATGAGATGAAGAACTGGGAACGAAGTTACCAAAACGCAAGAAATCACTTGGAGCGCAACGGCACAAACTCCTTAACCGGACTATTACTACATATGGCAATTTTCATGAGTGGCATCCAATCATAATCATTATTGACGACAAGGTTTAATATTTTTCTGGTTTCGGGCATCACACGATGCCCAGTTGATTCCAAGCCTGGGAATAGCGGCTTCTACATGGACAACAGAAATCTCAGATCAATCTATTCATTGAGAACCACCGAACCATCACTTATTTACTCCTTCTCAAGAAACGTGAAGATGCGCCAGCCACGATTTGGAGAACGAAAATGCAAAAAGGTGTGATGCAGTGCACTATCAAGCAATAAGAATTCGCACCTGGATCATGGTGTAACCGTAGATGATTGAAAGCACAAAAAATGTAACTCCAACTCCGAGCGCCACAAAAGTGATGATGTGAATGAAATGATATATTTCTTTGGCAATTGGACTTGGTCCTGACGAGACCTGAGCAGTGAGGGCAGCTATTCGTCCCACCACCTGAAACATGTAATTCTGGCATTGCTAATGATTGAATGAGTCCTATTCCTGTTCCCAACAGGTTTTCAAGATGGATAACATTCTAACAATGTCTTCTTCTTTGAAGACTTGAAAACAATAGTGTGCAACCGTGGTTGGCACTTGTTGACTATTGGCTTGCCTATCGGAAATGAAACCGGAGAAGCTGGGCTTTGCGGTACTGAAGAAAAAGCTATAAGAAACGGCTGAGGAATTAGATTTTATTCTGGCTATTCGATTAGCATTGTGAACGACTGTACATGATGCTGGCAAAATAGCAACACCAGGTGTGCGAGCACGTGAGCATTTTGGTCTGCCTCTCTGGCACAAAGTTCAAAGCGTATACAGATAATGCCGTTCTAGTGGAGCATATGGTCATCAGCGCTAGTCATAAGCACTGAGTTGTGCAGGCGTTGTTGTCTTGAATCAGCTCACATGCTGATTGGCTAATAGGCTCTATTTTACCTTGCTACACCATTGAAGCAGGAAACTTGGCTGAATAATATCAAAAAGAACAAGTCCTACATCGTCTTCTCAGGTAAACTGCGTGTATAACTCAATGGGTAGTACAGTCCTACTATATATAATCGGCTAAGCGGTTGTGTGTGTGTGTCTGACCGGAAATTCATAACTTCACTCCCTTTGGACCCAGAGCGCTCAAACTTCTAGGATATATAGGGGCTGGGCCGAACACTGATGGGGGGCGGGAAGTGATAACTACTGATAGGAGCTGATAACGGACGTCGGAATGCTCATGTCATCAATTTCGTTACGCCGTTTGCGTTGAGAGCGTTCCAAGGCGCGTATAGGCATATACATATCACCATCGGCCGGACTGACCAAGTGACCTTTCCTGTTGAGTATAATTTAAACTGGAAGTCCCGTGCATTCAGAATCTGCCCTCCTTTTTTGAAAAGATCGATTTCGAGAACTTTATAGTCCATCAAATAGGGAGTATATTTGGCTATTTTTCCAAATACTTCGCTGCAGTCGAAAGAAACGCGCTACGCTGCCGCGGGCAGTTAGTGCCGCTTTAGTGGAGTGCGAAACTGTTCACTGCATGAAAGCAGAAAACTCTCCGATTTCTACTTCTTGGCCAATGTGGCACAGACTAATAAGTCCTGAATGATAAAGAAGAAGCCAGTCTGTGTAAAGTTAGGTAATTTCAACCGCGGAGCATCCACGTGGCACGACGCTTTTGCGCATCTAAAGCCAGCATTCTCTGTTGTAGAATCGGATATGCGAAGAGTGAAAGGGGTCGTATAGGACCTCCGAATGGGGGACGGTCGCGAAGACGCGACCATTTCCTAAACACGATTTTCACCCTGATGGCATGTACTGTTCCTGTGACATTAGTCCGTTTTACGTCAAGGAAGATTTTGCAACTAGTAAAAAGAGATGACCAAGTTGTGCAGCGTAAGGTAAACCTTCTCTGCTTCGCAGCTTTGGGGAATACAAACATTTAGATGCTCCAGAACAATCAAAGTCCCTGCTGCCAAATTCGGATCACGACTTTGAATCCCTTATGAAGTGTCGAAATTGAGGACTACTGTCCAGTTTTCGCAGAAAATGTACACAAGGAGCAGAAGAGATGTTTTTATGAAACCTGTTACACAAAAAATAATACGAAAGTAATATTGAAAAAATGACAACAAAAACAAAGCGAAATGGAACCAACTGTGTTATCAGCGGTGAGGATAACGATGCCTCTACCGGTCCCTTCAAGTACATTCGTTGAGAACATGGCCACATTCTTCGACTCTAGTGGATTGTTGTGGGTGAACTCGGGTGATCGTGTCTGTGGCTCTGATTCACCGGTCAGTGATGAGTTGTCTACCTGTAACGACGGATTCGGAATCGATCTAAAATGCTTGAGCAAAACAAAACAATGGTGAGAATTGCCGATGGAAAATGGCGTCCTCTAAAAAGTAAAGAGAGTTTTTCAGATTTCCAGGATTAAACGCAGTTAATCTAAAGCTCTAACAGGTAACGCCCGAAGGAATATTGCTCCAGCAGTCAAATGTGGCACAACGACTGCCAGTTGCGTGACAACGGCCATGTGTGCTGGAGCAGTTGGTTTGTGCCACTCCACCTGTCCACATAGAAATTGGTAAGCCACACAAAACCAAGGAGAAGCGGGCTGGCTTTCTAGACTGAGGATGCCTATTTGCGAGACGGAGCGCAAGCAAAGACGACCCATTCCGTCCCTGTCGCGTGCTAGAGTGGTCCAGTGGATCCTCCTTGCTCGAGGGACACGAAGTCCATCATTCCTTTCGTTCAGAGCTTTCGTGAAGAAGTCTGACCATCGGGCCGGCGGTCGTCCAGGTGTTCGTTTGACGTCCCGAGGGATCCAGTCGGTAACCGACACTCTGATCCAAATAGCATCATATATCGCGTGAAGAGTCGAGCCAGAGTTTTGATGATGACTGGCGGCGCATTCTTCAGATGTTCCGGTTTGACCCTGTCGAGACCGGGTGCTGTACGATTCTTCACCGACTTGATGGCGTGTCGGACTTCGGAAGAGAGAACTGAGGGGACGACGTATCCATCCTGTTGCAGTTGATAAGTGGGCAGATGGACATGGCGAAGAGATCCGAGTAGAAGTCGTGGATGACTTTCTCCATTGATGCAGTAACTGTTCCATCCGGACGTCGGAGGCAGGTCATCTTGGTCTTGTAGCTGGCAAAGCTTCGGCGGGCATTGCGGATGCTCCTCCCAGCCTCTGCTGCTTCAGCTAATACTGCTGCTCTTCGCTCCTTGAGATCTTCCTTTATCGCCTCTCTGCATAGCTTCGCAAGCTCGGACGTGATTGCCTGCAGCTCGTGCGGCTCCACGCTGGCGTATCAGTTCGAGAGTTTCCGGAGACAGACGTCCCTTGGTGACTTTCAAACTCTCTGCCTTCTTGCCACAATCGTGAAGATGTTCAACGAGCCGATAGTACTCCTCGTCGATGTTTTCGATAACGGAATCCTCCCATAAGCTGACGAGAGAAGTGAAGTGGTCCCAGTTGTGCTTGCGCTGAGGAGACGATGGTCCGATCCCGTGTAGAACTTCGGAACAACAGCGACGTCGGTCAGGCAAAACCTTCGATTGAAGATGATGTGGTCTATCTCGTTATGGAACTGTCCATCAGGTGACTCCCAAGTCCAACGAAGGTGAGAGGGCTTTGGAACTGTGAGTTACCATGGATGGTGTTGGTCGACATGATAAACTCCGACAGTCTTTCGCCCTGCTCATTCCATTCCATTCCGTGAGTACCGATGTGAAGTTCTTCAGCCGTTCTTCTTGGGCCAATCTTAGCGTTGAAGTCGCCGACGATGACCTTAGAAGGTATGATCTTCCCTGTAGAACTTCTCCGAGTCCATATATTAGGTCGCAACGAAAGTAATGGCGGATTCGACCCTCAATTTCAAAAACTCATATTTTTCTTTGAAATTGAACTTTATTCCGAATAATAATTCCCACAAGTACCTACAACAGTCCGCCATCGGTCGACAAGGGAACAAATGCCTCTCCTTCCAAAATTCGGCAGGTTTCGAGTCGAAGAAGTGCCCATGTCCGCTTTCAACTGTTGACGTTGTTTTTATCCTTTGAGAAGTGAGCCAGGGAAAGGAGTGGGTGGTAATCCGTAGGTGCAAGACCTGGCGAATATGGAGGATGGGGTAAAACCGCAGATCCAAGTTCCGCCAATGTGTCCTGGGTTACCCTTGCAACATGGGTCGCGCGTTGTCATGAAGAAGAAGGACTTCGTCCAGCTTAGGGCGAAGTTTCGCGACTTCAGCTGCGAGCCTTCGTGGTTGTGAGCAGTACACCTCAGCGTCGACGGTGGTATTGTCTGGCATCTCGTAATGATGTGTTCCCCGAACACTCCACCAAATTGACAGAAGAACCTTCTTGGATGAAGCTCCTGCTTTGGAACAGGCTCTGGCTTCTGGTTCGCATCCATCAATGATTCAAGTAAGCTTCCACTTTTCATCTCCAGTAATGACATGATCAAGCCAGGCTGCTGTTTGCTGAAAAACCTCTGCACACCTCCACATGCATTTCCTTGAACTGCTCTGTCAGCTCATGGGATGCATCGACCAAGTTTATTGACTTTTTACAGCTTGTGAGGGATACAACCTGCACCTTCACAATGGCCATGTTGAAGCACTGCATCTCCTTTGCCAGCTCCTTGGCGCTTGCATGCGGAAAGTCTTGAAGTAACATGACTCAAATTGTTCAAATTGGGGACTTCGTATGGACGTCTAGGACAAGGTTCATCCTTAAGATTGTAGTTCCTCTCTGGAACTTTTGAACCAAAGTTGGCAGGTCTTCTCACTTACCACTCCCTCTGCTTCCTCAGGGCATACATTGCAGCAGGCTTCGCTCGGTGTCAGTATCAGTCAGTCGGATGCTATCGTACTGGTCTTGCTAGCTTGCTTCATCAGGTCTCCGATGAGAGCTTCGGATGCAACGTGCCATTTTTAGTACCATTTTGCTTCTTTACGCAGCCGATCGGCCGTGATGCAGCAGCCTCTTCGAGCGCGTCCATACCTAATGCTGTCGATACTGGTGGCTCATCAGGATCAGAGAAATAAAGTCCCTTTATTACGCTTGTTCAACAATTCACCTTCTCGAAAATTGGAAAACATCACAAAATAGGCCTAGTTGTCCACCGGAAAACCGATCTGAGACTTTCGTTTGGGTTCAAGGGAATGCGTAGCGTATTCTGGGGCAAGTGACAAACCTGCTTTTCTGTGGGACGATCAGGTTGCATCGTTGATCAGTACGAATATATGCGCATCACATATGTACAAACAATTACTTCTCAGAGTGAAACTCGATTGCATGGCACAATCTTAGTTTAAACTCTTTCAACGAATGAATTAACATTCCTATAGACCTCGTTGAGCTGAGTTTAATGGTGCTTTCAAATTCCGAAAAACTCACCGTTAAATTGACCTACAACGAAAAAAGTGAAAAAAAAAGTCTCGTATGAATTTTTGAAGTTTATGACGAGCACTGTAGTTCAGTAGCGGTTGACGGGCGTGATATTCAAAATAGGGGAGAAAGAGAAAGTAGTACGGGAGAAGGACCACAGTCAACATCTCAAAACTTCGTTTATTTGTTCCTCTCACTTGCTGCTACGCAAATACGTATGCAGGCACCTTCAATTAGTCCTGGAGGGCTATTGTGGGCTTTAGTATGATTGATACGAGTGTTCTGACCTTTAGACCTCTTGCTTGAAATATCCTTATGTCGGCAGGTACTTTGTCTCCACCACTTATTTCGACTATGTCACCTAATACAACTTCTTCAACCTTCACATCAACCAATCGACCATCGCGAATAACCTGAATATGAAATATCAGTCAAAATGTTGAAAGAGAGGAATGGTATCAAAACTTACGTGAGCCATGGATGGGATCATGTTAGCAAACGAACTCATAATGTTCCCACTTTTTGCCTCTTGATAGAACGAAAACAATCCGGTGATGGTCACTACCGTAGCCAGGGTGATCGCCAAATACAACTTCAAATTCACAGATTAAAACAAGCCTTATAACAAGTTTCACTAATATGTAGTACCGAAGTACGAATCAGATATAGTACGAATCTATCGAAAAACTCAAAGCCTACATTATCCGCTTTTGTTTCCTCGCCGTATTCTTGTTTTTCCATGATGTACCCAACGAGCGATGCTATTGACGCCACCCACAGAAGCATGTTGAAGCCTCCTGAATAACGTGACCATAAAAACTAGCGACCATAAAAATGGAACTGACTGGATTCTACGGTTTATCGAAACAATACTTTTCAGAAATTCTTGCAAAAGCTCCCAAGTTTTGTTCAAGAGCTTTTTACAATAGTAATACAAATTTTAGTCGATAGCTTATTGTTGTTAGATGCCGGTAGTTGTAAATCCACGGGTAGGGATTGGATGCCAAGAGCCAGTTTTTCCTATAGTGAGAAAGAGTGGTCCCCAAGCGCAGGAGTCGCGAAACTGTCGCGACTCAAAAATGTGAGGCAACGGCACTACAGGCTTGCCTTGTGCGCCGCGTGCATCATTCGTTGCATAGATAGCCTCTGCGCCCTCTTGCGTACAACTTATTATTTCGCGTTTTCGCTCTCCCTCGGCGCTGTGTCACCCTTCATAGCACGGCCAACCTCACAGCGGGAATTTCAGTGTTTTCTATATTGCTTTTTGCTTTTTCTTCCCACTGTAGTTCTCATGGCACTTCCTTTCACATTTGTTAACAAAATACACACCAATACGCTCCCCACTCGCCCCCTTAAAGGCAAGATTCAAGCTTAAACTGATGAGGTAATTCTACTCAAATGTGATGTAGGGGCGGGAGGGGACCGCCAGTGGAGAAAAAAGGAAAAAAATCCTGAAATACACAGGAAATACGAGCCTTTTGCTCTACGTTGCGGAGAAGTTCAAAAGGCCGGCAGGGAGATGAGAGATAATGTGAGCGCGGAGAGCGGTAGAGAAATCCGAGAAGAGCATAGCAGATCAAGTTGCGACGCAGACAAAATATCGAGCGGTGGGCGGAGCGTGTCGCAACAGGAGGAGCGTGTCAAAGTCCTTGGCCCCTAGCGCCTTAGTGACGCATTTGGATGCGGGAACTTGGCGAGTCGCCTGCAGCTGCGTCCCATGCACTTCTAGCCACTTTAAGGGCTTATTAGGTGGGTCTGAGCCCGAACTTTGCCTTTAAATCGCATTTTGAGTGAAAGATTTATCGTGAGATATCGTGGGCAAAAACAAGAAAGAGGGGGCCCCTCACTCATATAGCGCATACAGGTTTTGAGCGTATTACTCATTACCCATCATGCATTCTAGTGCTGCCTTCGGAGATGCCGTAAAGAAAGCACGACGTGTTCAAGCCCTGAGTACACAGGTCCTTGCATAACAAAGTGTTTCACTGGGCTTCTGCAAGCGCCATTCTTGTAAGGATCGAGGAAAGACGGATCTTCACTAAGAAGCAGAGAAGGTCCGCGATCGTTATCAGCATTCACAAAAGGCCGTGTATCTTTGCTTCAAGCAAAACAGCAGGCCCAAAGTGCAGGTCTGCTGCCCCCACTGCTGAGTCATTTGTCACGCATTTTCACCTTCTAGTTTCGAATGGGGCCGACCGTGGATTGAGCGCATTTCGAATCGGTGACCGTCTTGCAACAGGAGGATTTACCGTACACGAACCAGTGCGCATAAATAAGATCGTACCACTATTGTTCCGACGGCTATGCGAAATAGGTCAAATGAAATGTCGCTTTGCGGGTAACTCATCCAAATATCTGCCTGCTAGTAGTTAGCCGCTGCCCGTCCTTGAGCGAAGATACCCACCAAACAACTTGGTCCTCTGTTCCCGTTTTTTGGCTAGTTTCTCTGCTTTTTTTTCCTTGGCGTGCCACTGAGCACACCTCTTCCCTTCAAACCCCCACAGAATCTAACGCAATCGCTGCCTTTGACGGCAGTGGCACGTCAAATTGAAAATTGCAGAAGCACAAACATGCCTACAACACACCCAAGGAGAGACTGGATCCGAGGTAAGCGTTTCTGCTGGGGCCGTATGCTGAATGTTGGGGAGGGGATGGGGTCCCGACGGTCGACGGACTACTTCAACTCGGTCCTTAAAACCGCCTCAATTTGATGCTTACCTCAGGACTAAGCCTTAAAGAGAGGACGGACCTGCGAGAGAGCGCAGGTCCGTCCTCTCTCAAGGCTTAGTCCTGGGTAAGCAAACCAGCCTTTTGGCGGAGCTGCTGGACCAGCTGCACCACTTGCGTCATTACTCTCCTACCGTACCGACCGAGTTGAAGTGTAGTCCGTCGACCGTCGGGGACCCCATCCCCTCCCCAACATTCAGCATACGGCCCCAGCAGAAACGCCAAAAGGGCTGGTTTGCCGTATTTTATTTCGACTGGGTCCTTAGCGCCATTAACACGAGGCTTCCGTGAATAAGGCTACGCTTACAAATCAATAAAAACCAGAACACTGGTTCCAACTAAAAGAAGTGAATTACACCAGAAGTGTATTGCGAACTAATACAGTCATCATTATGGTCCGTCTTTCATTCGAAAGCGCTCTTGTTATGAGCGGCTGCTCCTTCCATTCGTTTGTCGTGTCAAGCATGATGTTTGTTTGATGACGCGGTCATCCTAGTCGATTCTTCCATACGAGTTCTGTCGCAGTGGAAGGTGCGCCTGTACTCCACTGATTACGCCTTAGCCAACTGCAAACTCTCAACGTGATCAATCTTATCAGCCCTAATCAGGTGCTATCGCTTTGTCCCCCGCCCAGTATGTTCCCGTCCCCCCCTATATCATATCTTGAAACCAACTCCTGACGACCACTGGTGCCCGAGCTATGAATTTCGCGACACTTGCGTTCTAGCGCCTTTTATCAGCCCTTATCAGTTGTTATCACTTTCTTTACCCCACCAAATATGTTCCCGTCCCACCCCCTATATCATATCTTGAAACCAACTCCTGACGACCACTGGTACCCGAGCTATGAATTTCGCGACACTTGCGTTCTGGCGCCTTTTATCAGCCCTTATCAGTTGTAACCACTTTCTATCACCCATCAACAATGTCCCCGTCCCACCCCTTCATAACGCTTGTAAGTATGGTTGCTCTGGTGTCAATGCGAGCCAGGTAACGGAATCGACGACTTTTGCGTTCTGACGTTCTAGCGTTCTTGCGCGTCTTATCAGCCCTTATCAGTTGCTATCGCTTTCATTCATGTACCACCAATGTCCCGGGACCACCCCACATAACACTTGTAAGTATAGACGCTCTAGTACCAATATGAACGACAAAACGAAATTGGCGATGCTCGCTTTCTAGCCCTCTTATCAGCTATTATCAGTCGTTATCAGTTCCTATCACGTACCACTTGTGTCCCCATCCCACCCCCTATAACATATGTAAGAACCACTGCGCTATCGTTACTGTGACTCGAGCTATGAATTTCCGGTCAAACACACACACACACACACCAACAGACACACGCTAGCCGCTTATATATAGTAGGATAGTTTCATCAAGGTATTCAGGCTGTTTTACTACTCTTTCATCTTCATACTACACCAGTTATAGCCCAACCTGCCTGCATCAGAATCGCTTCCGCGCCATAGACACTAACGAGGTCGATCGCCTTGCCTCACTTCTTGCAAGCCCACTCGTTTTCGTCCATTTCACGTATCTTTTTGGCCCATAGTATTTTCTTCTTACTCGCTTCCTTTGTCCAGTCGCTGAGCTTCGTAAGTGATCTTATTCTTTCATTACTCCACCGATCCAGCACTGTCAACCTTAGCATTTTTCTTTCCATCTTCCTTTGTGTTACGGCCAACTTTGTCATGTCCGACTTTCGCAGCGACCAGGTCTCCGCTCCATAAAGCACTGATGACGTGACACAGGACTCGAATGCTCGTTTCTTGAGTGGGATGGGAACGGTCCGGTTGCAAAAGATATACTCGAGCTTTTTGAAAGCATTCCAGCCGGACTGAATTCGGTGTGCAATTTCGGCTGGTCGCCTAAGGGGGGAGTGAGAGACGGCAGCCAAGGTAAAGGGCGTGATCAACAAAGTTGAAAGTCTTTTCATCAAAACAGATTAGATGCTTGGATGTTTTGCTGCGTTGATAACGCTGATTTTTCAGGTTTAAGCAGAAGTCCGACTTTAGCGGATGCATTCGTCAGAAGTTGTAGCATTTCTTCGAGCATAGAACGCGATGAAGCCAGTAGCGTAACGTCATCTGCATACTCAAGACTGGAAAGTAGCTTGCCTTCAATCCTTAGTCCGCACCTTCCCAGTCTATAGAATCGAGAACCATCTGTAAGGTGGCACTAAAGAGTTTTGGACTCAGTGTGTCTCCTTGTTTGACGCCTCTTTCGATGGTTACTCGGACCGGGTGAGAGTTGACGAGAACGACGTGGAAGAAGATTCATAAAGTCTTTGCAACATCCCTATCAGTTCTGGATGTACACCCCCTTTTGCAAGCGGCCCATACTGCGGACCACTCCAGGCTATCAAATGCTTTTCTGTAGTCGACGAGAGCAATATATAGACAGGGAAGTTATATTCAGTGCTCTTTTCAGCGATTTGATTGAGGACATGGATGTGGTTGAGGGTGGAATGTTTCCTTCTAAATCCACCTGACTTGGGCTCTCTGTCTCTTCAAGACGTTTTTCTATGCGATTAAGGATGGCTTTTGTGATAGCTCTGAGAACTCCTGATTTCAGAGGATATAGGTCGGAAGTTGTTACGTCATTGGAGTTATCCTTCTTGAACAACAGTTTCACATGAGCGCTTGTCGAATCTTTCGGGATGGAGTCACCGGCGTTTGATGCTATTTAGCAGCGTGGTTAGCATGGGAGCTACTGTGGACTTCGCAAGAACCCAACTGCTCTGAGAAATGCGATCTGGTCCAAGAGATCGTCCGAGACTGAGTTGAGAAGAGCATATTCTGATTCGTCATCGCAGAAAGGAGGACATGGTTTGAGGACAGAAGGGACGGATAGAGGGCTTCGAGACAACAGGATGGACGGGGAGCCCTGATGACTTATGAAGTTCGTTGTAGTACGATGCCACTGCAACTTCTGTCGCTCGCTGCGAATACGCTACGGTGACTGGGTTCTTCAACATCAGCCTCCTCTTCCTGTGGATTCCTTTTCGTTGCGCTTCGATCATGCTTCTGCCTTTCTCAAATTGCTCTTTGATCTGA